CAGATAAATTAGATAAATAATAGTTAGTTTCTTTCTATAGTCTGAGCTTTACTCTTGTAACAAATTTGTAATTGGAATAAATTTTGTAATTTATATTCAGAGAAATCTCTAAAGGCATCTTTAACAAATTAATAAAGATATGAGCAAAACCTCATCTTAACTCTAAAAAAAAAAAAAAATTCTAAATATTAACTCAAGAAAATATTAAAAATCAAATTCTTAAAATAATTTATTTATAATATTAATAGTTAATATTATTAAAGATTAAAAACAAAACAAAGAATAATTATACAAATTAATAAATAATTATAATAGTAGACCTAATTAACAAATTAGTTTATAAAACTTATTAATATTTAATTTTTTATAATACAAGCTTTTTTTATAAAATATATATATATTATTCTAAATATTTATAATAATTTAGAATAATTTTTTTAATATTATTTTACATTTTTTTTAATTAAATATCTTAAACAAATAGTAGAATTAATATATAAATATAATTTTATCAAAGTTTATAAGATAAAAAATTAAAATAGAATATATTTAATATTAATAAATTACAATTTTAGATTACTATTACTATTATATATATATATATATAATATTATTACTCAAATCTCTTTATATTAAAACTAACTAATACTTTATATATTATATTTCAAATTTAATATTAATAAATTAATTTGAACAAATAAAATATTTTTTATATACTGTATATTAATTCTAACTAATATAATTTAAAGTTGTATATAGTATAAAATACAGTAAAAGATTTATATATATTTGTGTAGTTATCAATTTAGATAAAAAAAATTAAATAAAAAGAAAATAATAATATAACAAATAACAAATATACTGTAAATAGTAACAATTAGATCAAAGAAACTATATTAGATAAAATAGAGATAAGTAAAGATATATATAAAAAATTATACAATTTTAAACTATTGAGTATAAAAATTTCTTTATACAAATCAAAAACATAATTAGTGTCATAATCTAAAATAGAATTATTGATATTTCATTTAAATTAGATCACATAATAAAATAATAATATACAGTAATTATTAGATATAGCATATATATAGAGTATAATTAGTAGATATAGTATAATTAGCATAATTAACATAATTAATAGATGTAGTAAATGTAGTATATTTAGTGTAATTAGTATAATTAGTATAAATAGTATAATTAGTGTAATTGCATATATAGCATAATTAGTGTAATTACCATATAGAAAAAAATATATAAGTAATGTATTTATAATATAAGAAAAACAAGTTTTATAGTATAGTTAATAAAAATATACTTACTCTTAGTACTTACCCAAATCCAATGCCTCTTTTGAGTACTAATCCATCTGATATTATACAAGAAACTTTTATTTATATTATGAATAGGGAATTTTAGAATCTATATTTTCTGTATTACAACATTAGTTTACATATTAAAAAGGATTATGTTTAAGATAAAATTAAGAAAATTAAAAAATAGATGATAAATTGTTAAATAAAAGAACAAATAAATCAATGTAATAAAAAACTGGATAAACTATATTGATAACAGAAAAAAAAACTAGAAAAAAATGTATTTATAAAAAATATGAAAACAAATAGTTCATCTAGAAGAATTTTAATATAAAAGATTTTCAAAATAAAGAAATAAAATTATGAATAAAGTTAAAAAAATTTTGATTATTATTAATATAGAATTCTATGTCTTATCAATTGATGTTAGTACAATGATAGACCATAGTTGAAAATGATATTAAAATTTTTAGAATGTTATAATGTAAATTTAACAGATGACTTAAATGAAATGATAAATAGTAATCTTGATAAGAAATTAGTTAATAAATGGAATATAAAAAAAGTTGTAAGAATTATTAGTTAAGAACAAAATTGTTAAAAAGATCATCTTGGTATAAAGATTCTATGCTCTCAATGACCTGATACTTCAATAGGCCCATTCTGAACTGACCTGATTTATAGCAAAAGGAGACACTAATTTTATATGACTGATCCTTCACTCGGTGTGCAACATATAAAAAATTTAATTTACGATGCCGCTAGTACATGTCATGATTATAATTCCACACCATTTTATTATAATAAAATGGTATGGGATTATAATCATAACATGTACTAGCGAAATGATCTGGCATCGTAAATTAAATTTTTTATATGTTGCACACTGAGTAAAGGATCAGTCGTGTAACATCGATGGTTCCTCCTGTTATAAGGGTCTATAATTTGAACCCGCTAAATTCGGGCTAAACCTGACCGGTCTCTACTTTAATTATGACAAATACAATTATTATTTGCTTAAAATGCTTTACATAATATCACATTAAATTAACTAAATTTAGTTAAAATTTATTATATTTTATGTATATATTATGTGACCGCATATGTCTGGACACTATAATCAATAGATAAATAGACAAATGGTTAGTAGATCGAAACAATAATTTCGACATATCAATATTTTGCGAGGCATGCTGAAAATCCAAAAAATATCGACATACTGTAATGTCATAAGTCACCTTCAAATTAGGCATAGTCATATGCATACTAAAAAGTACATATAAGTCGTTTTATTAATTAGAGCATTGGAAAAGATTCGAAAAAAATTTTTTTAATAAAATTAATTTAACTGAAAGTTTCCTATTAGAAGTATAGTTTGACATTTGACCAATAGGGAAAAAATTAGCAGATGGAGTTCTTGCCTAGCAAACCACCTTACGAAATTTGATATTCAATAGTTAATTGAACAATCTATCCTTGAAAATCACCTTACAAATTTGATATTCAATAGTTTATTGAACACTATCTAATTAATAAAGGAAAATGTGATTTACATAGAAATAGAAATACAAGTCAATATTTTGGTCCATTTTTGTGCAAAAATTCCAAATGTGTGAATTTAGGAGACTTTTACTAAAAACACACTTATTGTATTTCACATTTGGCTAAATCAGTGTATGATGCTCCAAGTAAAAATATTCTAAAAATGTTCTAAGCCCTAAAAACCCTTCCCAAACCTAATTATAGCCCTAACTATCAACCCTAACATAAGAAAATTTGAGTTAAAAAATTTTACATACAGAACTTGTAAAAACCTAAAAAACATAATAAAAACATCCAAACCACATAGGTGCATTTTACGTATAATAAATAAATCCGAAATTACTCATCCAAACCTATATCGATATTAAGTATCGATATAAATGTAAGCCCCTTAAATCTGATTTGATTTCTTGGTTCTTGATTAAATATGGTCTTAGTTGTTAATTAGTGATAGGGGGTTAAAAAAATTAAGTAGCTTAATTTATTATGTGCCATGGCATATAATGGCATGATGCGTGGAAATTTAAGCGTGCACTTATTTGTGCGGAAATTAGCCAATCGGAAAACGTAAAAAATACTTCTCCAGGATTAGCTTGCACGTGCGCAAGGCGAAGAAAAACAGGATAACAAACCGAAAAAAAGAGAAAATACAATAAAGTGAGTGTTTAAACCCGTCTTACAGCACTAATTAAAAATGTCTAGAATAAAATTTTATATGCAGAAAACGATTATTTATTTTTGTCGTCTCTTTGTAAATCCGAAATTTAGCACCTCCTTTTTTTAATTCTGTACTACTGTTAATTATTTCGGAAATTAAAGCTTATCCGATTCGGCAACTCCGAATAAATTCTGGTACAATCTAGCTATAATTAGTAAGGATTGCTATTATTACGAATTTAGAAATCCGAAAAACTAATACACGATGGATTCACCGAAAATTTCGGAAGTTCACTGAAACCCCAGTGATAAGATTGTTTATTCGGAAATAGCAGTTTTCGAAGTTTACATGACATAAAAGATAATAGAACTCTAATATTCCTAGAACCTTTTTAATGCTAGCACCTTTTAAAATTTTTATAAATAAAAGTTTTTGAACCAGTTTGCATAATAAATTTAAAATAAAAGATTAAAAGTATCAATTATTTGAAACTTATTAAACATCTTCAGTTTTAATTGTTATGATCTCATGAACTTTTATTCTGGATAATGTTGAATTTTCATTATTGATACATTCGTCACTGTGTTCTGTAAGAGGTTCGGAACTGATAGATCGTTCTTTAATATTTTTTGAATTGGAATTTGACATTTCTGCTGATGAATTGAAGTTATCTTTCCACTTTTCATTTATAAGAAATAATATCATATTTCCTATTCCTCCAGAATTACCAAACACTTCAGTTAAAGTATACATCCAAATTGTATTAAACTAAATAAAAGAAATACATAAGAATAGTAAAGTTAGAATAGTTTTAAAGAAAGCAACAATTAATTACAAAAAGACGAATAAGACGAACGAATATAATTCATACATCAAAAATTTGCCCTACGACATAAAACATTGTAGGAGTCCATTGTAAAATGAACATCAAAATGTAACCAGTGATTTTTCTTGCAACAACAAGTTCTATTCGACTGAGTCTCGAACCACCAGAATTAAGATTTTTGACAAGTTTTTGTTGAAAATTTACTTCTCTCAAGGTTGCAATATAACAAAAAAGCGTAGTTAATATTATCAAGAAATTTAGGACAATGATTATTATAGGAATTGTTGGATTATATTGATTAGTGTAACACCTGTAAAAAGTGAAATAGAGATTAAAATGATGATATCAGAGTATTCATAAATATAAACTATAAACCTAAAAAAAATATACCAGTATCCACTAGGACCAAAGCTTGGAATTCCAAACATAGTAAGCATAAAGGATAAAAACGAAATAGTTGCAATTAATTTGTAATCAAATTTTCCCAGATTGAAAGTCCATTTTTTACATGTTCGAAGGTATGTTAGAAGCGCCAGGGATCCAACTAAGAACATGTTATTTGAGACACCAAAGAATGACAAACCACCAACAACTTTACAGACAGTACCCTGAAATGTGTTTCCGTGAATTAAAGTGTATGACTAAGAAGCAGAGATAGATTCATGTCAATAAAAAATAATGAGATTAATACTTATACGTAATACAAATAATTATAATACATACGAGATTTATCATGTTCGCGCAACATAAAAATACGTCTAAGTGATTTATTATGATATTACAGTATTAGCTGATTAGTTTAACTTTTCCGATATACAATTGTATTCTCAAATTAAATCTCTGATAGCTATTTCACCGACAAATAATTTTCACCAAACCCCCGATTTTATCGATTATAAAATAGATAATCTTAAGATGACTTAAAATTAAAATATTAATCAAGTAAATGTTTGTGATTGGTGAAATGAGCATCATTAAGTCGGTGAAATGAGTTTCGAGATTTGATGAATGAATGACATACCAGTAATTGCAATGTACATGGGAACCCTAAATGCCATTGAAAGAGGCCTTCGTGTTATTCGCCATCTATTTAATGTTCTGTATATAACGTATGTCGAGCCAACGGTATTTAATATTACAGAGACTAAACCAATTGACACAACTACATTTACAAAGGGAGGACCAGTGTTATCGCTCATATTATACGAGCGGTTTTATTAGATGGGTTGTTTACTACTTATGGCTCTAAAAGTATAGTCTTTATATTAGTGTTCGACACTGGAACAAGTACAATAATAATACGCGATAGAACAACGAAAATTTCTTTTCTATATATAAAAAAGTTTTTTCAAAATAAAAATAAACATTTATATAATGTTTGCCACGAAATGATAATGAATTATTTTAAAAAATGTGTAGAGAAACACTTTTAAAAAATATTAAATAATTGAATTTATCTCATGAAATTAAGCTGAATAAGTGAAAGTGAAGATGAATTCGAAACGGGAATATAAATATAATAATTTGGTGTTATGTTAATCTATCCGCTCCTCTTACACAAAGCTAATTATCAAGGATAAATAGAAAAATAATAAATTCCTATTGACCATGAGTTCACGCTTATTCGTAAGCACACTTGATTATTTTCTGTTTAATATAATAAAAAATTACCTAAGTTCATGAATAATCTATATAAAGGTAGGAATAGTAGATCATTCAGCTAATGATAGCATGAGTGTAACTAATCGGATTAGTCAACTGTAATATATTACATAATCGGCAATTGATCCGGAAATTATTGATCGACGATTATAATTTCGGGGCTATCTTTTTCGTCAAACGAATAATCCAATCCTCTAAAATTAAGAATTCTCTGAGATATTGAAGACTGGTGTATAAAAGATGTAAGTTGTGCAGAATTAATTAGTTGTGCAGAATTAAATGTTGTGAAGGCAAATTCTGGTAATTGAGTCTGCACCACTACAGCACAACATACTACATGGAAAGATGTGAAAAAAAATTTCTTGTAACTCAAGTTCTCAGAAAGTCATTTTCAGAAAGAACATATTTTCCATAAAGTTAGTTAATAAAGTTAATTATAATACTGACTAGATATGTCCTTTTGGAAAATGATTTTCGGAAAATCATATAATAATCGAAAGAACTGGATCAAGAACTGGAGATCTTACTACCATGAGGATCCCAGGTCTATTGTTAAATATCAGTTTATTGTTAAGGCGAATAGGATCCCCGATTATTGTTAGATGGGGTATTTATTAACAATGCAATTGGTGCTTTTGATTATATGAAGGCAGAGAATCAAGATTCCACTATTTTCCACTACTGCGATTAAAATTTGATTTTGAACTCAAACAATTTTGAGCATCAGGATTCTTTGAGTAACTCATATCCAACATGATTATGACCTTCGTCCGCTGTATTTAAATCATAGTGGCGTCATATGGTTACCGATAACTTTCGTCTCATACTAGATCTGAATTAGCCCATGTCAATCAAATGCAAATTTATTTTGGGTTGTGATAATCATGATCAAATTATTGTCTAAAATTTTCCTATTATAACTAGAGATGCAGATGCAAACGCTTGTATATTAATTATAATAAAAACTGATTAATTAATAAAGCTGTTTTGATTTATACCTCTAAGTATTTAAACAGGTCGAACTATAAGCTTTTAATATCTTGCAGCTTATAAATACAATTTATAAATTATCGATGTTACTTCACACATAATAATTCGATGAAACTGAAATAGTAACACCGTGGAAAATCTTGTTTGTTCACATATTTTTGAAACCAGCTGTAATATTAAGCTTAAAAAAGTATTGGTCATTGTTTTTAAAAGTTAAACGTACTTAGCAATTCAAAATAAGCATACAGTATATTATAAGATAATCTGAGATTAAATAATATAAGTAGGGTTGAAATTTACAAAAATTACATTTACGTCATAAATAAATTACAAAGTAACTTATGAAATTATAGTTTCGGAAAACTTAAAGTCACAGTGATTTCATAACCTTAAAATATAAGACAAAGTTAGTAAAAGAAATAATACTATATAAAAATGTTGTTTATTAAATAGGGAATCGGTCCCAAGTAAAAATCTTATGCTTAATATGACTAACTGATACATAGATGACGCCAAGAAAAACCAGACTTATATCATAAAATTTATATAATTAAAGTCTAGTTTTTCCTTGGCTCACCCATTTACAATAATTTACCCGGATGATCTGGGTAAAAAGCTTTTCCAAAGAGTCGAAAACCACAAATAACAAAAATCCCTATCCTTAGTAATGATAAGCAGGGGTATTTCTTATTACTTCAATTCCGATAAGCTACGTGCATAGATGATTTAATTTTGATTATATAATCAATTTGTACTATCTCTATTAGAGGTGAACCGTACGACACACTGCAGCAAAAACCGTGTGAGTCCCAAATGCCGTATGAATTTCAAGTGCCGCATGGCTACTAAGATTTGGAACCGTGAAAATTCATGTTGGTGATTAATCGCATCGCCTAATTAGAAGTTACACGATTAATAATCGTAAAATCGTATCATCACTTAGCCGTTTAATCGCAATCGACTAATCGGTTTTTAATCGCTTAACCGTTTAATCGTTTACCCGTTTATTAATCACTTAATATCGTTTAATCGTTTATTAATTGTATAACCGTTTATTAATCACTTAATCATTTAACCGTTTATTGATCACTTAATCGTTTAACCATTTATTTATTTAATCGTATAACCGTTTATTAATCGCATAACCGTTTATTTAATCATATAACCGTTTATTAATTTATTCATTTATTAAAGCTGCTCGATACGATAATATCGAGGCAGCTTTTGTCTCGAATCAGCCATAACCAGGCAATTGTGTGGTGACGCGCTTTATTATGACGATCATATTAGTAATAGAATAGACTCAGTGGAATTACGAGGTAGTTACGATTAGTATGTTGGGATCAGTAATAATGACGTGTAGTGAGTTAAATGAATATTTAAGTACTTGTATTGAGATAATTCTATTTGACTTTTAGTCTGGTTTTGTCGATCCCTCCCACCCTACCCGTGACCATTCGAATAAGTTTAATTTTGAGTTTGTAAATGGATGGCCTGTCGTGACGACAGTCATTATTTAATTAAAAAAAAAAAAAAAGAAGCGATGCTATGTAATTTGCGTAGGATGCTCGACTGCGGAAGGAATAAACCCGTATGTTCTTCTTGGATTATTTACAAGCGTATAAGAGACAAAACAATAATTGTTTAACTGTTTAGCCGGTGTAACCGTTTATTGATTGTTTAATTGTTTGGCCGTTTAATCATTTAATAATCGTTCATAGTTTAGTCATCTAACTGTATTCATATCGCAAGACCCAGTATTAACAATGTCTAAAACTTGTATTATTTATATCAGGAAAGGAATATGCTTGCAATACGGAATGTAAACAAAATCTTACATTTGATTGGATATCAGGATTATAGATCTTCGGTGTATGTTGTCGTGCGGCAAATCGGCGAGTCTGTCGCTAATTCCTTCCAATTCTCGTGTAACCTACGGCGGCTAAGTCGAAAT